TATTTATTTTGTTTGTAAAAAATAAAGAAATAATTTTTAATGATACAATAGCCACGATTATTATTTTAAAAAGTTTACATTAGGCTTAACATCGACGAAAATTCAACGCGAAGTGACACGCAACGGAGAAAAATTTCAACATGGGAGAGGTTAATGTATTTTTTCGTACATAATCGGTTATCCGAAAAATAAGTTATCAGAACAACCCCAGTCCCCAATTGATTCGGATAAACGACGCTCTACTGTAATACAAAAATTCAACCTGGAATACGTATACGTAACCATACGTAATCAAAGTTTTATTATCTGAAATTTGCCAATGCCACGACTTCTCTCTCTCTCTCTCAACCGGAGNATATTAAAATAATATAAAAATATTTATTTAAAATAAATATAAAAAACAAATATTTGTCAATCCACAAATATTTTTTGTTGTTAGATAGTAGACAAAATGCAGAAATTGAAGATTGTCAATCTTAGTATGTTTGTTTATAGCAGAAAAATATAAATTTACCTATTTGTATTGATTCTGTTGTAATAAATTAAAATATGAACTGAATTGTGAAACAGGAAAATATCATTTTTTATCTCTTTATAGCATTTCTGGAAAAAAATACAATCAATAAATAAAAAATACAATTTTATGACCATCTATATAAAAAGTTTTTTAATATATTTATATTACATGTAAGATATATTTCTGGATATAGAATGATGTATTGTGTTTCTCTGTATGTTTATTTTCTATTATACACTAATACAGTATGAACATACTAGATATGGCATTTCAGATATTTAAAAGTATCAAGTAGAGATGCAATTGAGGGAGAAAATGAAATAACAATAAGAAACAATAACAACAAAATCTGTACATCAATTTCTTCAATTCTAGGATGCACTTTTTTAATTCATTTTGAAAATGTGTCTTACAATAATTGTAGGATAAATATTTTGGACTGTGAATGTAAGACATTATCAATTATTGATAACATCTTATATTCACAATCCAAAAGAAATCAGCAATTTATATAACGTTGGTGTAACCATGTGCCCTGGCTATCTGTTCTATAAGTCTTAAATCCTCTACCAACACTTGGGAGGTAGAAATATGTGTGAATGCTCTTCAAACTAAGGTTCTGAAGGCTGAAATTTTAGAGATAAGATAACCAAGAGATAAATCAGCAATTATAACAAATAGAACAAATAGCAAATTAGGAACCAATAAGACATCTTTGGCTATACTGCTCAATGGTCATATCAGTTTAAATCAAATGCTTATTGCCAGAAAAGTTCTGTTGAATTTCTTCTTATGTGAAATGCCTTTGACATAATGCAGCATTAAAACAAAAAGTTATCATATGTGTATTTGAAACAAAGTTTCCTAACATTAACTATTTTGTGGCATTTCTATTGTTTTTCTAACTCATTAGAGAGGTCGTGGCTGAAGCCAAAGCCAAAACTTTAAACTTGTAGGGCAAGCTGAAGTACATGTCTTATGTTTGAACTCCAAGTAAATACATTCTGCTATATGTTTACGTCAGGCAATGCATTGCAAGATTTGTTATAAAACAGCTAATGTAATCAAGAACAACAAAGATGATCAACTAGGATAAATAAATAAATTAAACTATTTTAAAATGCTTATAGGATGTTTAACAACACTAAATGATTACTTTTTACTTTAATTAGCGATGTGACTCCTACCAAATGACATAATAGTAAGAAAATTCCCAATGCATTTTGTCTGTTCTCACAACATCCTTTGTTCACAGAAGTGGTGGCTATAAATCCATACAGAGACGACAATCCAAAAACACCTTGGGAAATTATTTCTAGAAATTTACAAACCAATCATGCCATTGATAATAGATGTCGTGAAAGAAAAAAAATCTACTTCAATAGTAGTATAATAAACTATTTTATGAACACTTCTATAGAAACTATTCTATAGACACTTCACATCACGTAAAAAAAAATTGAATAATTAAATAATTTTTGAATTAAAATTATCTATTTTTCACATTATTATATATAAATGCTTAAATAATCATTATTTTAATAAAATATTCCATTATTTTAACCCAAAACACAGAAAAATGCGAAGTTTAAACCAAACTTCTACTAGCCATGCTCAATGTTCCAAATGCCATTGTCAAACTGCTAGGCTTCCAAGATAATGGTGCTAGACATTTGAAGTTTGTTTCAGCTGCAACCTCTCTATTGTTACTTAACAAAATTTAATAAAATTGATTACTTAAAAGTTTTTATTGCCATAAAAATGTGAGATTTTGAACATCCCCCCTTTATTAAATGAAAATTGATGTCAAATCCATTAATGTTAGAAATAATATTTCTGATTTAAATGACAAAGTTTTAAGTTAAAACAAAGGAAACTGGTAAAATTCACTTCCTTCTCAACCAAAGTTCTACATCCTTTTTGTTTTCCCTTATCTTCACAAATTTTGAGTCACATACAGTCCAGTTACCCCTCTATAAACCCCCACTCTTCCTAAACACGTGGGAATAATACAATTTTCTGATTGGAGAAAATCATCAAAAAAGGGGATTCTTTAGTATCATTCGGGGAGTACGCAGCGAAATTTCTTAGGAGAAGGACGTATTCCATATTATCTTCCTACGGCCAATGCCCATATTAAACTCCCGTAGTTCATACAAAGTTTGTTATTTTCTAAATTTCTAAATAGAAGAAAATGTTTATTGAAGTGCTGCCGAAGAATTAACTAACCAAAGATAAGAACATTCACACAGAATCTGAAATACAGAAGTAAATATACATATATTGAAGTAGTACGTTTTAACTAGAAATGTAATCTCTTTCTCCGCAACTTCCATAATTAAATTTGGGGATTTGATTTTGTATTTTTATTTCTTGTTTATTAAACTTTTGAGATTTATTGTTAAAGATATGAGTCTTTATGTCTCTCATTATGTCTAAATCAAAATATTACATCCTTTCCATAACTATCCAAAATGTGTGTTAATCCACATTTAACAAAAATGATTAACTGGTGTCAACGATCCTGACGAGATCTAGAACTCACCACCTAAATCTTTCTTTTTAACATATTAGTTAAAGCCCTCCTTAAAAGTAAAGGGATCAACTGTAAGTCCCTCCACACTTGATTTCTTTGATTAGAAAAGCCATTCTTTTGGACAACCGAGGGCTATTCAAACGGATGCCCCTCACAAAAATAATATAAATTGGATATCAAAATCACAGTCATCTTAGAATCAAAGAAATATAATACATGTTTTTCATTGTAAGTTAACTTTAATTAAATAATAATTTATGAGGAAATAGAAAGAAATACAGATATATAAATATAAATGTTTGAGAGGTTTATACGGATTCATTATTATATGTTAAAAAACGAAGGAAAGGAAAAAATTGTTGTAATAAAGTTTAAGACAAAAATACAAGTAGCCTAAGTACTTTCATGTTAGTTGCCCAAAATACAAGTAAGTACTTTCAACTTGTTATTACATCTCTCAGATTATATCTGAAGGTGAGCAATTAACCCAAAAGCACTTAAACATATTTTAAACTTTCTTAAAGCAAATTTTTCTCTCTTTTATATTGCATCTTTCTTAAAAGCATCCTTTCCTTAAATATTCATCACATATCACTAAATTTATCTTTCTCAAAACTGATAATAATTCTCTAAGTGTATAATCTTTTCTGCAGAAATAAATGTCTTGCTACTACAGGTATACCTCGCCTTACGTCGGTAATTGGTTCCAGGAGAGGCGACGTAAGTCGAAAAACAACGCAAGTCGAATTTACTTGTCACTAGGCTAAACCATAAATTACCATTCCCAGTTCTGTATTTTATTTATTAATGCATTTTTAATAATATATGGTTAATAAAGATCTATTTTAAGCTTACAAATTTTAGTTTTTAATATAGTACAGAAAAAAATAATCTAAATTTACGAATGAATGTACTGTAAATACAATACATACTTGTCAATGTATATATTTTAATATGATTTTATGTGCTTTAAACGCTTTTCTAGTGATATTACAACTTCAATATTTGTGGCAGACAGACGTAAAGTCAAATAAAATGACTTAAACTTGATTTTTATTTTTCCATATACTTTTTTGACAAACGACGTATAATCGGGAACGATGTAACTCGAAATGACGTAAGTTGAGGTATACCTGTATTACTTTTTTCTTTTCATCTATTCCAATTGTACATATCTGAATGCAATTTAAAATTAGAATATTTATTTAACACTTAGTCTAGATCAAACAGACACATATACATACAGGCTTATCACACCAGTGAATGTGATTAATTCACAAAATCTTTAAGAATTATTTAACACCTTATTAATAAAACTCTACACTAAATTATGGCTCTAAAACTCTAAAGTAACAACATACGGATAATGCGCAAGTCTACAATGATGCCATCGGTCACACATGACAACATTCCAGAAAGATTTTCCAAAGCAACGGTTAATTCCAGACTGGAAATTCGAATTCATATAGTGAATTCCATAACACCTGAAGAAGAACCACATTAGGTTCAAAAACATTTGCAAAGTCCTCTGCATTGGAGAAGAAGAACACCGGTTATAGGCAGTCACGTTGGAAAATTTCTTTATAAATTATGGCTCTTTTAACATGTACATAATACAGAACACAAAATGCATTTTGGACTCAATGCGTCCCCCTTCAGTTGTTGTTCATACATAAATGTAAATTATAAAAATAAATTATAGAAGAATGATGTATTGAGTCCGAAATGCATTTTGAATGTTCTATATTATGTACATGTTAAAAGAGCCACAATTTATTGTAGAGTTTTATTAATAAGGTGTTAAATAACCTTTAAAGATTTTATGAATTAATCTCATTCAATGGTGTGATAAGCCCATATGTATGTGTGTCTATTTGATCTAGACCAAGTGTTAAACAATATTAAGGACTAAAAGGAATAATTATTCCATAGGATATTTATACTAACCAGGTATATCTTCTTGAGCAAATTCATTTGTTGAGGTAGGCGTATCAACTGAGACAGATACAGGGACTAGAGCTGATCCATCTCCATTGTTTGAAATATGACAGAGTTGGTTATCTAATACATTTCCACTTATTTCAACAGAAGATGTTTGAGAAGATAATGGAAGAGCACTAGTTTGTGGATGACTATTTGCAAATACTGGCATCTAAAAAAAATAAATATTTATTTAAAAAAGAAATAATTGAGCATTTATATTGCATATCATATTATATTTATATTAACACTTTTAAATCAAGATATATCATTTACTTACATTTTCTGTTAATGTTTGTTCCATTAATTTAGATGGTTCGATATCGAATTCCACTTCGTCACCTGATTTTGTCTCTTCAACTGAAGTATTTTCTTTTGAAACAATGGATGGAAGCATTGAATATGTTTGCATTTTAAAATTGTTACAATGAACTGATTGCGACTGTGAATCTGTAGAAGTATCCAGCCTCCTGGAAGCAAACTTAGTATTTTGTTTATGTTGGACATCCTCGTCAACAACACATTCCATAGCATTATCTTCCGTATTCAACGAAGACTCAATCTCCTTTGTTTTTGTTGGCACATGACTATCACTATCACTATGAACAGAATCACTTAAGGAATGTTTTCTTGACCGTCCGTGTTTCCTTCGAACAGAAGATGCACTCAGAATTCTATTTTCTTTGGGACGATTGCCACACGACAATTGAGATCTGTTCATCTGTTGTTTTGCATCTTCATGTATAACAGTATCTTGTTTGTTTTCGTACATAACTTCGGCCAATCCTTTCACTTTTAGCGTTTCAGCAGTCTTCAACAATGCAGTCAACTGGTCTTCAGAAACATTAACTTCGCCACGATACATAAAATCAACTATGGCCTTTAAATCCCTGTATTTCATGTCTTTTAAAATTACAATTGGATGTTTACAAGGATTTTCAAGAAAAAGATTTTGAAAAAATGGACTGCAGGCTGATAAAACCATTTTATGTGCTTTCATACTGAGTCCTTCACAAGCTAGCGTAACATCAACAAGAGCTTCATTTGAAAGTAATTGTTCAAATACAGTCAACATATTGGAATGATGATTATTCCATTTCAAACAAAACTGTTCTGTTCCCATGTTTTTACTTATTTTTATACACTATTTTAATTCCACATATACTAACAATTGATATAAGACCATCTGTAAAATGAATAAAAACTATTATTAAAATAATACTTATCAATTAAATGTTAATTTATCATAATATTATATCAATTTTATTTGTAATTGAAACATAATTTTACTATTATTACTGTCTATAAAAATATTAAGACTTTTTCATCTTAAAAGAAATAAATAAATGATTTTCTCTAAGTTATTAAAGAAAGAATACAAAAATAAAGGAACACAGTCTTTCAAAGTTGAAATTTTATTAAACCAAACAATCCCTGTAATTAATTAGGCTATTATTTTTGCTATTATTAATAATTAAAAATTAAGTAATGTGGTATTAGATGTAGATGTTAGGCACCATCTCTTATTGAAATTAACCTTAAGAGGGATAGTCAGGTACGGTGCTACCCCAAAGTAGTGGAGAATAAACTTGGGAAATTTTTAAAGTATTTTTCCCATGCATTTTTTCTCATTACTGTTTCAGAAAAAGATTTTGTAAACAGTTATGTCTAGTAAAGAAAAGTCTTTTTTTATTGTTAAATAATTAATTTTTTATGTGAATTTTTTTTATGGTAGTTTTTGGCGATACCCCAAAAATAATTTAACAAATATATCTCCATCTGTCAGCATTGCCACACGATCGCCCAGGACGGATATATCCATCCCTCACTGTTGAGTGGTTAATAATTATAATAACTTAATATTTATTAAATAATTTAGAACAGTCTGGAAAAAAGAATCAGCCCATAGTGGGATTCAAATCCACAACCCCCACTTACAGTCTAGTGAGCTGCCAGTTATACCACCCAGACCTCTGAGTGATGTAACTGCTCAGATGTAATTCTTCGCTTCTAGACATTTAAATCTTGGTATAACCATTTGCAGTTACTCAAGATGCCGACTGGAGACGACTCCTAAGCCCATGGCCTATATACTGCACTAAGGCACTCAGCTGGCTATCACTTTACCCTGCTTGGTATATATATAAATATCCCAAAGCACAATGTATTAATACTAAAGTTTAGTATTAATACAGTGGGATGTAATTATACAATCTAAACACATGCTACAGTCAAGGAAACTTACTCCAAATACAGGACAGAAATACCTGAAATACTCAAATTCCATTTCCTTCTTAATAAATATAGTGGAACTATATATTTACACCAGTCTTATTAGGTCTCAGACAAGTTTGCTTAGGTTATTGAGTAATGACAGGAAGTCTTATTGTTTACTAGGAGATCAGATCTGTTTCATTCTGCTACAAAACAGTGCTTCAATATTGGCATGTACTATATTGGAATCACACCGAGGATGTTAGTCTCTCACATTAAAGAGCATTAAAGGGATGTAATGCAGGACAAATATACTATCAAGTTATCTAGGATGGTTTTTATTCTCTTTTTTTGAATCAGTCTGGAATAAGACACAGCTACTGATCAGTGTTCTAGACAAAGTGAGCTCTATATATATATATATATATATATATAGGAGGCCTTGTTTATCAGTAACAAAAATACTGTGCAATTGTCCAACTTTGGAATTCTCAGAGCATTGGATATCACTATATAAGTTACTCAATTGAGTATAATGCCTCATGATATTATATTCTTGTTAGTGCTTATAGAATTGCTTGCAAGTTTCATTTATATCTGTTTCTGCCCAATTCATTTTTTGTGTGTTGAGTTGTGATCTTTGTTTTGTTAAGTTGTATTTATCAATGTACACTTACTTGTTATTTATTATTTAATTTGTATTTGGATTTAAGAATTTGAATTGTATCCTATTCCAATTGATTCATTTTTGTAACATGCCATTTGAATTTTGTTGCCTGAAGATGAAAGATATGAAAGGTTGTCAAAACTTCTTGCTTAGTTTTGAATTGTTTTAGTGTAAATGTTTAACAATGAGAAATACAGTGTATTCAAAGTGTATTTAAAGTGCCATATTTATTTAGTTTAAGAAAAGATACTATATTAAAAGGAAGTAAAAACACTGAGTGCAGTGTTAACAGTATTTTATTTTTGTTAGCATTTTCAAGGAATTTATGTTTATCAGCTTCAAGTGAACGAAATATAAAAGTAGAATACAATGTTCTAATGAAAATGGGACACAATTATTTAAATTTAAATTAAAAACTGTTATGATTATGCTCAAAATTTGATTACGCTAGATGTTGTACCTTAATGCAGTCACGTGTGGATATACACCCACATTAAAGGTATAATGGTAGACATATATAACCATTTAACTGTTTATATAGGGCAACCCATACACTGGTCAAGTCAAGTATGGGAGTGTTGCATGGCTCCAAGGTTGTTGTAAGAAGAGATTTCCATATAAACACAAGTTTCCGGTTTCTGCAGCACCTGCATAGCATTGTTTGAGCCGATAACGGATTGTAGTTCTGTTTGAGCACCTTTTTGTGCGAGCTCTGTGGTATGCTTTGGAAAGAACTAATACAACAACTTAAAGAAGTCACCTCCCCAGTGTGCACCACAGTATTGGATTTCAGATCATTATATCCATCCATTGAACTACCGCCATGTTTCTGTGCTATCAAAGACTTCCTCTTTTCTAAGGTTAATGATACAACAATGCACCAAGAAATTCTGGAGCTATCCCACTTGATAGGTTACAACTTGGTATTCCAATTTAATGGGATCACGTACACACAACATAAAGGTGTTCCCATGGGAAGTCCAGTGTCTGAGGATCTATGCAAGATAGTTACAGTGACGATATGTCCTTTATTTAAGAGGACAGTCCTTTATTTCACTGCTCTGTCCTTTAACTTTATTTAAGAGGACAGTCCTTTATTTCACTGCTCTGTCCTTTAACTTTATTTATTTTCTAAAATAGGCATTTTGTCCTTTATTTTGTAAAGTTGACGCAAAGTTTAAAAATTTTTTTAATAATATATTGAACAAGTTAGTTTTGTGTATGCCATCACGACCAGTGTTGCATTGCTACATAGAGCACAGTAGTGCAGTGTATCGCCAACCAAAACACACTTATGGGATTTTTGTGATAGTTTTTTAACTCTCTAGTTGGTGGATGATACACTTGTTAATTAAAGCTAAAGTTAGTTGAAAGAAAAAATGAGGGGTTTCTTCCTATTGTTATTAGAAAAGTGGTTTTAGCATTAGAAAAATCAAAAAATATACAAGCCAAAAAATTCAATGATGCTGTGTACACATTTTATCAAACGTGCATAGATTATCTAAATAATTGGGACATGTTTTTTATTGAAATAGAGGTGTTTGAATGAGTCACATTATGCAAAATCACTTTGTGGGTGAAAGTAGAGGAAAGCTATACCTTTATTTCGAATCATTGGTCCGTAAATATACTCGATGGTGAATTATTTGAAAAAGTTTCATGTGTAAAAAAATATGTCACAAATGAAAAGATCGATGAATGGTGACAGAATAACCAGCTCTGCCATCAAAGGTGGATTTAGATTTTTGAACATTTTACAGCAAAAAAAATTGTTTTCAAAAACATTTGTAAAATCGTAGAATTTTCTTTGTCTCCCTGGATCTAATGCCCCCGTTGAACGAATATTTTCATTGCTGAATAATATGCGGACGAATGAAAAAACCCATTTAAAAGTAAGCACATTAGAAGCATGTATTTCTGTCAAATACAACTTTCAAATGAACTGTATGGAATTTTATGATTTTAAAGCGTGAAACGGCACTATAAAAAAAAATTAATTCTACTGAAAAGTATCAAAATTAATGCTATTTAAATTTTTACAATGTGTGTATGTGTAATGATTCAGATTGTTTAAAATTTTAATGTATGCATTGTTGTATGCTACTATTTTCGTAATAAATGTTATAAACTTATGAATTTTATAAGGTATTTTTTGATTTTCTTCGATATGTCCTTTATTTTCCCCAAAAAAATATGGTCACTGTAAAGATAGTAGTCAGACTATTAGAAAACAGCACTCTTCCTCACTTCCTACTCAATATGCTACTATATAAACGATACATAGATGACATCATCATCCTGTGCAAGTCTGAACCAAATCTTAAACAGTTTGTTGATACGATGAACGACAATCCTTACGGTCTATTGATTGAAATAAAGCAACACAGCAACTCAAATGTCCATTTTTTGAATATCAACATCTCCTTTGAAGGACCAAACATACACACTGCAGTATACCGAAAAACTAGTAACACCTCCATGTATATTCCGATAGGATCCCGTAATCCTTTTCAGTACAAAGTAGCAGCCTTCAGGGCATTGGTCAAGAGGGTTTTTACACACTCCTCCTCTCTCCAGGCACTGACTCAAGAAATGAGACGCATAGAAGGGATAGCAGTGGCCCATGGCTACAGCAACCTCGTACGGGGATTATATAAATGATACAGAAGTATCCAGGAAGCAGATAACAACAGAACACAAAGACAAATAAAGATTCAAGAAGAAAATATAGAAGGATCCCCATCACATTCAATCCACATTTAAAATCGTTATATAACAAGATACCCAAGAGATGTCAGGTCAATATAATCTACAGAAGATGCCAAACCATTTTCCAATACTACGTAACGGAAAAGACCCCCCAAACCAGTCAGACTACCTGGAATTTATACCATCCTGCTCAGAGACCACAGGTTTGACAGAGAAATGGTTTACATTGGCTCAACCAGACGTACATTGGGGATTAGGATTAAAGAACATAAGGCTGACATACAACACAACAGAACTACAACGGCTCTCTCAACATATGCGACCAATCAGGACATTACAGCGGACTTTGACACGGTGCATATTATCCTCACTACCACCCACCTCGAACATCTCAAATGGTTGGAGGCTATGGATATATTTAGAGCAGGATGCAACACAACATGCATCAATTTTAAAGAAGATGTAGCCATTTCAACAGCATGGCAGATCCTGCTAGATGATAGAATTTAAAAGTTTACATTGAAAGTATTATAGCACACATGCTCTGTACACAAAACATCGCTCTTTTCTTTTTCCTTTTTAAATCGACTCGGAGG